CCCCCCCCCCCCCCCCCCCCCCCCCCCCCCCCTCCGCTCTCGCCACTCCCTTCTGCCCATCTCCAGCCCTCCACCCCTATGCCTGTCCGGAAACTGTTCGTTAGGTTCTAAGGATCGTTGCTTCTGGCTATTTCCGGCCATTTTTCAGTTACCAATCGTCGAAAACCCTTTCTTTCACTGATTTGAATATTTATATAGTGGTTCGGATTGCTGTTTTATCTGTTCACATATTACAGGATCGCTAAGAGATGATCGAAAAAGTGAGCGATGGTCTGCTGGTCGGTGATGCATCGAGCGTTCTGGATGAAACACGGCTACAGCGATTCACCGATTTACAGGTCAGTTGTTTGCATTTTCTCGAGCTTACTAATACATCAGAGATAGTATGGTGTATTTATGAAAAAGTACATAAGATTATATAAATTTATACTAAATAAATAGCGACGTGCACCAGGGCAGCCGGTCGGATCATGCGTTTTGTGCAATTCCGTTCACCGGACGATTGCCTGCTAATGATTTTCACTGCTTTGAATTTAAATTTGACGGACTGCACATGAGCAGGGAGCAATCCCCTTAAATTTCAGCTTCCTAGATTTCGCGGTTCCCGAGATAATAATTTACCGGCCAAAAGTTTCACAGGGTGGTAGGTGATACTCGAGAACGTGGGGACACTGAATTTGAATGTGCAAGGCCGTACGTGGACAGGGGTCATTAACTAAAACTTCAGCTTCCTAGATTCCGTGGTCCCCTAGATTATAATTTACCCGCCAAGAATTTTCACGTAGCCGTATGTCTTACCGCCTGTACGGGAAGGCTGAATTTAAACTTTCTGGATCGCACGTGATCAGGGAACATACCCATAAAATTTCAGCCTCCCAGCTTCCTTGGTTCCTGAGACAGTGATTTTACCCGTCTAAACTTTTACGGGGCCGTACATGTTACTCGCAGCTACGGAAGGACTGAATTTAGATATGCGGGGTCCATGTTGACGGGGGACTACTAAAATTTCAGTCGCCTAGCTTTTGTGGTTCACGAGTTGAAAGTGCAGGACAAAACGCATTCGGACACACACACACATACACACACATACATACATACACATACAACCCCGTGACAATATACGTTTTGTACTGCTGTTACACAGCATAAAACGTATTAAAATTGGATGAACAAGAATGTTTCGGTCCATTAAGTCGTAATACATGTTTTATGACTGCACGTTCAAAATTGCTTCGGAACTACACAAGGGTTTGTTGTACCTTTGCCCCCTGCACAGGCATGACAAGATTTTGTCTTTTGTTCTGGCATTTGCATTGCTATCATTTCAGATCACCCATGTGCTTACCGTAGCGGCAGCAGGCATTCCGGAAGAAAAACGCGTACCCGGAGTGCGGTACATGTTCATTTTCGCTTTGGATTTACCCACCCAGGACATGTTCGCCGACAATGCACTGGGTATGCGTACAACGTAAATTTGGCGCACTTTTCTCGAAAAATATTTGAGCTCCAAAATATTGGCTTCTTTTTCCTCAGCTGTTTAGTATATGTAATATGGTGAACTAACGTTAGTATATGTGATTCAATATGTATGTAATTCAAGTATATATATAAATCTGTTAGTGTATTTAATTCAGTAAGTAGTAAGCTAATGATTTCCATTCCTATTCAAAATAGGTTTCTCTTTGTGTTTACAGCTAAGGGATGAGACATAGTCCATAATAGTTTTCCCAGTTTTTTTTTTTTTCAAAAAATGTGGCTCACATAGCTCCTTTTCACAATTTTTCCCTTCAGTCTTTCTTAGTCTTTCACTCCACAATCTTTCTCTTCGTCTTTCCTCGTTTCCTCTTTTCTGTCCACGCTTATTGTCCCACTCGTAATTACAATTGCATTTTATTATTTTATCTTTCGAGAATACACAATGTTAATAGTTCTATAAGCTTTTGTGACCGTTACGACATTACCTGATGTTTTGTGTGTTGGTATTCTCGAAAAAAAAAAGATCATTGCGATCTTCGATCCCTTTTTGGTCTCCTTTGGTGGAAGAGAAAGATGGTTTAAATAAGCTTGACAAAAACTTGAAAAAAATTAGCTAAGCACTAGGGGAGATACCTCGGGAATATCATGTTTCTTTTCTCCAATTTAATTCATTATTATGGATGATAATAAGGATCATGTATGTTTTACATATGCCTAGAATTTCTGCTTTGATAGCCCAAACTATAGTCTCCTTAACACTTACCTTCGTTTCCTTCTCTTTCTTCTTTATCTTCGTGCTGTACTCAAAATATTCCTTTTTACATGGCGAAATGGGGCACTGTACTGATGACTCTCACCCAGTTTCGCACCGATTGTGCCATCTGTGTTTACAGCTCAGGGATGAAACACAAACAGGGTACCGGCGTAATGTACATACAGGCTTGTTTATTTGGAAGATCTAAATGGCACTTCCAGTTTTTCACATCAATTGTCAAAATTCGATTGTGTTCCTCTCCATGATGGGCCAACAGCGCCAAATAAACTGCATATGTTAATACAGGGAAGGTTTCAGGCCCCCGCCAGGGATATTTCATTGTTTGTATCTTTAAAATTTCTGAAAAATTTACAGGCCGAATCATAAATGTAGTCATCAGTAGGTTGATTTGCAAGTAACGTAGCACTGGTCAGAGTATCTGGAAAAGTTGTCAGCTGCATAGCTGGTGGACAGTGCTATGAATTAACCGGTGTTTCCGGTATTTTAGTGTGGTAATTATGCAGAATAAATACCTCAGATTGAATGACAAACTAAAATTGAGACCCAAATTTCTGATAGTTGTCGTTGCTGATGAACGAAAAAAGCACTTCACGGAACATTGATTTTATTTCAGATAATTGTTTGAAATTTATCAATACGGGTATCGAAGATGGCGGATCAGTCCTCGTCCACTGGTTATTTTTTATTGTTTTTATGTTTCGTTTAAATCCGCTGGAACATCTGGAAGTAAATTGGATGCAGCAGGCCTAAAATAGAGCTTATCAGTAAGTTGCGCTGTTTTATGCGTTTTCGTCTAAAAAAAATGGATAATTTAAGTGAAGCCGGTATGTCACGTTCGATTTTTGTAATTGCGGCTTATCTGATGAAACGATTTCGATGGACAGCAAAAAAAGCCCTTCAGCATATACAGCAAATACGACCAGTGGCACAGTAAGCTATTATACAAAAAAGCTTTTTTTTAGACTCTTAGCACCTCTTTTTCGTTGTGTTTCACCCTCATAAACCCTCGTCTTTTCTCAAAAAATTAAAGGACATATATTCTTTGATTGCTCATGCAGTAGTTTACTGCAGTGTGATAAAATCTAGTTCTGAAAAAATGAGTAATTACTGATTTTTGCGAACCCGGAAAGTCTTATAATTCATTGATTTGCTCCACTGTCTATGCAGCTGGCAACTTTTCCATTTCATAGCAGTTTTCCATTGATAAAAACCTTGTGTTTTCAATATCCATAACGCTCCTAAACATATTGATTAGTACATGAAAAAACATAAAAAGGCATTTTTGGAGTAAGTAAAAGTTTCTAAAAACAGAGCAGCTTAAGAGTAGTAAGTTATTCATCTACAGGAATGATCTTTTTATTTTAGACCGAATGATGGCTTCCTGCAACAGCTACATATATTTGAAAACGCAAATTATGAAGCAAATATAGAATGCATTATGAGGCACCCTTTATACAAAAGGTGGCTTCTCTCATCTTCTTCGGCTGATACAGGTTGATAGTTTAAGCAGTTGTTGTGCTAGTAATTTTCATAAAGAACATGAAATTTCGTGGAACTGTTAGCTGAGAAGCGCTATGGCTGGTTTATAAGAAAAGTTCTAATTAGCCACTGGGTTTTCGGCCAGTTAAATCTACTTTAAAAAGACAATACAAATGGATAATGAGTTAAATTTGCAATTAAACAGAAGAAAGCTGGGGCCAGAACCCACAGGCTTACCAGTGCGATCATGACTTTTTGCGCTAGGCTTACAACAGTCAAGTCGTTAACAGCAAATATGGTCTCTTGCGTTGTGATTTAACACGGCTACTCATGTTGGTTGTGTTTTGAGTTTTTCGTGTATACAAGAAAAAAGGGCGTCAGCTGGAATGGTGGTGTTGCATCACGGGGCCGCGTGAACTTCTGGCGCGCATGATTTTCAATTTTGCATGAAGCCCAGCCGTTTTTCTGGTGAGCGGTCGTTCATCGAAAATTGCAAATTTGACTATGCATCGAATGCGGGAAGAGAGGGATTACGAAATCCGCAATATGTACTCGCTTCTTAAGGCATTTGTACGAGGATTCCTGGCATGCTGCAATAATAGCGGAAGGGTCGCACATGGGTTAGACGCATACTTTCGAACTTTCAGCTTTTTAGCTTTTCTAGTTTTCGAGATGAAAGTAGGTGACAAAAAGTGCGAATATATATATGTATGTATATATATATATATAT